ATTTGGATTCCAATCTTCTCAGAGTCTTCTTATCAAGAGCAGTTGCATTTGCTAGATATTCCTGGTTTTTCATGTAGTTCTTGATGTCATAGAACCATGGTTTCCCATCAACTTCTTCTTTAACTAACTGACAGTAGGCAAGCTCAGTTTTTCGTTCAATTCGGATAAGCGATGCTTCACTGAGGAATCGGAATTCCACATAGAGGTTAACATAGATAAAGCATCAACTATATGGTTTTCCGTTCTTAGGACATGACGGAAGGTGACTTCAACAAAATAATTTATCAATTCCACAACGTAGGCACGATATGGGATCAATTTCTCATCACGGGTTTCCCATTCACCTTTGACTTGGTAGATTACCAAAGCTGAGTCTCCATATACCTCAAGGATCTTGATTCGGAGATCAATGGCAACTTCAATGCCTAAGATACATGCTTCATATTTTGCAATGTTGTTGGTAAATTCAAAACATAGCCTCGCTGTGAATAGAGTATAACCACCATTGGGATTCATCAAAACAGCTCCTACACCATACCCACTGTAATTAGAGGAACCATCAAACATCATCTTCCATTGGGAACCTGGCTCAAGACCTTCAGCAAGATCTAGTTTTTTGTAATCTTTTACCAACATGATGTCTTCGTCAAGAAAATCAAACTTCAGAGGCTCGTAATCTTCGACAGGTTGATCTTCAAGGTAGTCAGACAAATCACATCCTTTGATGAGCTTTTAGGTTACATACTGGATGTCGTATTCAGATAATAACATGTGCCAACGGGAAAGTCTTCTAGTCAGAGCAGGTTTCTCTAAGATGTACTTTATTGGATCCATTTTAGAGATCAACAAAGTAGTGTGACAGATCATATACTGCCTAAGACGTTTAGCAGCCCATGTTAGAGCGCAACAAGTCTTCTCCAAAAGTGAATATCTACTTTCACAATCAGTGAACTTCTTGCTCAAGTAATAAATGACATGTTCTTTTTGTCCGGGTTTGTCATGTTGGCCCAATACGCAACCCATAGATCCTTTGAGCATAGTCAAATACATGAAGAGAGGCTTACCTGGAATAGGTGGAACCAAGATGGGAGGTTCTTGCAGATAACCTTTAATCTTCTCAAAAACTTGTTGACAATCAGAATTCCAATCAATGATTTGATCCTTACGAAGTAGTTTGAAGATAGGTTCACATGTAGCTATCATGTTGGACATAAATCTGGAAATGTAATTCAATCGTTCAAGAAAACTTCTAACTTTCTTTTCAGTTTGTAGGGCTAGTGTCGTACCTCGAAAAATACGATCCTCACGATGGACGCGGATAAATGTTCGAACAGAGTCGCCACCGAACTTTATTCATTCCAAAGAAGGAATAGGAAAATATCGATAAAACCTTTAAAGAGATAAGAACATGGTCATCGCAACCAAATTCTAGGTTCGGGAGTCGATTACGCAAATGGAAGGTATTAGCACCCTCTACGTCTGTTGTACTCAACGGGAACCTCTTGATTCGATTCGAGAGAAAAGTTAGCTAGGTTGTTTGTTTTCTTCTAATGATTCGCTTATAAAGGGAAAATGGGTTGTTTTAAGATAGGGTGTTTGCCAAGGATTGAGGCCCTTGTGCCTACGTACTCCCTTGTGCAATGGGAAAGTCAGAGCAACGTAGTTCGTGGGACTACGGGAAAAAGGGGAAATTTGTGGAATTGTGCTCGCCAAGATCATCGCAATCTTGTGCCTACGTATCTTACATTCAGAAGAGAATGAAGAATCAGAGCGTCCGTAGTTCGGACAACTACGACAAAAAGGTTTGGTAACCGAACGAGTGTTTAGATCGCATTCTAACTGATAAACGTAGGCTTGACTACTCGCTAGGGGAGACTGAAGCACGAGTTTGTATGCGCAGAAGAAGGGATTAAACAATGTTCTTCGGGAACGTCGTTTGAGTTGTGGGTCACACGGGGGCGAGGAAACGAAGTTGGTTAGATATTTTGAGGGAGAATGACGACTATTCGATAAACGAGACGTCGGCCTCGCGATCAATTAATCGGGATATTATTGGAATGCCAGATTCCAACGACGCCTTTTTCATTCTATTAATTATGAAATTGTATTTGAATGGACAATGACGATATTTGTCCACATAATTAAGGCACGTGTTTTATAGACGAAAGGTCGAGCAACCCACAACCTCAGGCGTACGCCCCAAGAGTGGTTACTCCAGAATTCAAGGAGTGCGTGACTCCAAGAACTCAATTCTTTCGTACTTTGATTTAAGAAAATAATTTGAACTTTATGTACGGTTTAGACGCGTATTAGGGTTTAGACTCGATCACACAAAGGTAAGAAACAATGTTAGACGAGTTGTATATTTAAGAGGAATGACAACTATTCGATAAGCGAGACATCGGCCTCGTAACCAATTAGTCGGGATATCGTTGGAATGCTAGATCCCAACAACACCTTTTTCATTCCATTAATTACGAAATATGTTTGTTGGACAGTGAAAGTACTTGTCCAAGTAATTAGGGGGAGTGTTTTAGGAACGAAAGTTTGAACGACACGCTACTCAAGGTGTACGCCTCAATAGTGGTCACTCACGGATTCAAGGAGTGCGTGACTCCAAGAACTCGATTCTTTCGTAATTTAATTAAGAAAATAATTTGAAAATATTAACGCATGTGGATTAAACTAGGGTAAGTATATCGCTCGAATTAAGGTTGGCAAATTTCGAAAGTTTTAAACAACGTTAAGTAATTTAGCGACGAGACACGAAACGACCACAACTCAAGGCGTGCACCTCGAGAGCGGCCGTTCAAGGACCCAAAGAGTTCTAGACTCCAAGGATCCACCACTTTCATCTAAATTCAATAAGAGACTTTTACTTATTCTAAAAAAAACAAATATTTGGAACTTAATAAAAAAACTAAGAAGCATCTTTGATATAATTTAAATAGAATTTAAATAAAGTCATATTGCAAAACAAACATCAATTATCATAATTTAGATAAAAATCTAAAAAAATATCACTAAAAATATCACTAATATTTAAACTATATGTAATTAGTTTCTAAAATAAAAGGGACCCTATTAAATTCCACTAAGCCCTAACTAAACTAAATAACACTAATCAAGTAGGCCCAATCGCCTTATCCATGCTGACCCGTGGCGGAATCAAGGATTAGACTAAAAAAACCCTTCGCATGTTTTTCTCGGAAGAAACACCACACTTAGTTCTTACACAAGAAGAGCGAGAAACAACAATAAATGTATGTTGTCTATTGGGATTTTCGAAATTTAAAAAAAAAAAAAAAAAAAAAAAAAAAAAAAAAAAAGAGATTCATATGAAAATGTGAATTAAGACAAGCCAAGATATTAAAATCTCTCCCTCTGAATACTCACACGCCTCGCTCTTGAGATTCTCTCTCCAAACGCACCTACTTTCTAAGCCTCTCTCTCGATTCACAATCAACCTTCTTCTTTCTGAAACCTAGCCCCAAATTACACCCACAAATGCCTATATCGTAAACCCAACCTCTCTCCAAAACAATGTCATGAATTTCAAACGATTATGTGAAATGAGTATTTCAAACAAACATCATCAACATTTAACAGGGGATAAAGAGAATACTATTTTTGTAAATAGTATTTACAAAAATACATCTTCAAACATACTTTTTCACGTACTGAGATAAATCTCTAGATTAAATTTTTATGCAAAAAGAATGGCTATTCATTTTTGGTCTGATAAATTGCTAAAATAGATGCATCCGAAGATTATAGATTTTTTACAATGGTGTGGCGCACCCATAAAGATAGAAAGAACATCCCCTTTAAATAAATGTGAAAAACACTTACGAAATTGTAAGTCCTAGAACCCACCGTCTTTTGACCCCGCCTGTAAGCCCGTTAGATATCAAATTGAAGCTCTTATTCAAACTCTGACTAACAAATGAATTTGTATAAAAAAAATTATGTTAAATCAGCTTTGTGCAAGAACTTCAGATGAAGGAGCACGAGTTTGAACTTGCGACTTCTCATTTGTTCACATTTTAATGATGAATTCCAATCATTGGACAAAATAAATTTGCATAAAAGAAAACCTTCCAAGAGAAGATGTTTGCTATGTAGAAGAGAGTTGTGACTTTATATGGAAATTAATTAAAAAGTATATCCTTGAATTGTAAAACTGACATCCAATTAAAATTTACTATGCTGCGTTATTTTAAAATGAATATGATATGAAAAATGGTGGTTTCTTAAAACTATGTTACACCGATGATATTAGGTGTTAAACTCATAAAAAGGAGTCACCTTAGCCAAAGGTATATTTTCACTCTGATGCCACATTGCCTCTTATCTCGATCAAACACATCAAAATACACATAAGTTAACTGATATTACTGGCCACGTCTTAAAAACTTAACTTCATCAAGGGATATCTGCTCTGAAGGTTTGCTATTAGAACACTAATTGAGAAGAAAAAATAAAATACCAGCAGTGAATATCCTATAATTTCTCAAGTATTTATTTATGTCATTTAATATTAAAATCAACAAGGTCATATCAAATTAATTATGTGTGCTTCAACATGTTCTAAACATTTTTTCCAACTTCAAGAGGCAGCTGAGAAAGTATATTGAATAGAAACAAATAAGCTCAAACTCCAGCAGGTTTCAAAATTCCAGCCATGAACATCAGTTTGATTTAGGAATGAGCTTTACATTTTTACATGCTATGGAAATACTTAAAATAAAATCAGAAAAGTGGCATCTACTTGACAAAATCAGGAGAACCAAAGACTATCGATAATTTGTATAAATTCAAGAGTCAAATAAATTATTTTACACAATCAACTAAACACAAATATGAGGCTCCTAGACAAATGTAGATTGAAAAAAAAAAAATTAATCTTCTCATCCCTAAATTATATAAAGACAAAGAGAAGCGGAAAAATTCAATGAATTAAAGTACCATAATTCATTATTTGCGGTACAAAATTCTTGTTACTTAGAGAGCCAGTAAATGATGAGAAACAACGTACAAGCAGCAATGACTGCTGAAAGAATAAGGGTATCCCTTGACTTTCGCCTTTTTATCGAACCTGCAAGAGCAATGTTAACAAGAGACAACACATTTAAATTTGAAAATCAATACTATATTAGAAAAGATAAAAACTACTGTCCAACATACCGAGTAAGCTCCGAATAATGGGGAATTTGTCTCCAAGAAGCCTCACTTTTCCTTGAACATCACCAAACAGGGCTCTCTGAGAACCCAAGACAGCTCTTGTGGCTTGAGCTTGACTAATCACGTCATCTATCTGGAAAAATATAGGAAAGGTGAATAGTTCACCATATCACAAATGTTAGCTACATGGCTTCCCCATTTCACCTATATAACATTAATAATGAAAAAATGGCTCCATGAGTTATGAAAAACGGTTCCTCTCGGATGCATAATTTTTTTCATGGGACTGGTTATTAATTAGTAGTCACCATGGACCAATAAGAAAACCAATTAGGAATTTTAGCAGAAAAATACTTACATGAGACGTACTTCCATGGATGGCGGCTCTCTCGCGTAACAACTGCATCCTTGGTGACATACTACCAGATGTCTGCTAAAAGAAGTTAGGTCTAGTACACCCATAAGAAAATTTCTATATAACTTAACTCAGATCATGCTCAGGATTCACCTTAAATTCGGAAATATCATCCCTAACAGAACCTAGAAGCTCTGCATGTTCTCTCATTGAGTTTATGTTCCCCTTGGTACGTCTAAATTCCTGAAGCAAACAACAAACAAGGTAAACATATTTAAAGTAAACTTACTAGAGCAATAAAATAAATAAATAATTACTGTAGAAACCAATTCATTACAGTAATATAAGGACTTATAAACAAAAATATTGCTAATTCCTACATAAGCTTTCTCAATATATCTAAAAATTGACAATAACAGGTATGTATAAGGCTTAGCCACAAAGTATCATGTTAAAGCAGCAAGATAAAAAATCATGGTACAATGGTAGGATTTGAAGCACGGCTAGTACAATTTGGCTAAGAGTGCTGCACCAGGAATGGAATTTTAAAATCCTCCAATGGGATTTTCCCTGGACTTTTCTTCAGTTTTAATCTCCACCGTTAAATCTACATCTCCATTTTCATTTAAATTTTAAAGTGTCTTTCTCCTTTTTTATGGATGGCAGGGATTTCACTGGGTAAAAATGTGAAATGAAGGAATACATTTTCATCCTACCCTTATTTGTGCCAATACTATATGCATAAGATAAGCCTCATACCAATGGCTACAAGGAATATGATTAAAAGAGAACACTGAAAAAACAGTATTAGTAGTGAAAATCCAAGCTTGTATCAATGTGAATGTTAAGTTTGTATATTGGGCCTAACTCATCCTTACAAAACCGACGTATAAGGTGATGATTGCTCTCACTTATACATGTTCAAGCTTTATCGCATCCAATATGTGACTCTTAACAAACACCTCGCGTCCAAGAGTAAACATCTAGAGCATGACCCGATAGCAGTGACATGAGAGCAGGCAGTACAATGGATCTTGAACCATACTATGATACCATATTAATCTTTTATGCAGTACCTAACTCGTCCTTACAAAACCGACTTATAAAATGATGATTTCCCCCATTTATAAACACATGTTCAAGCCTTAATAGTGACAACAGATCCTGGGCTCTGAAGCTACAATGAGAAAATGCAGGGAATAGAATAAACAAAATGACTAGGGAATATAAAATGATGATTTCCCCCTTTTATGAAACACACTTGGTACCTCCTCTACTGGTAACTCCCATAAAATTGACTTGTAAGGTGATGATTACCTCTCACTTGTAACCACTAACCAGGTCATATCATTGTCAGATGTGGGACACTCAACACATCTAAAGCATGACCTATGTGGCATGATAACATGTCTATTATACTGTCATAGAATTTGGATCATATCTAACTCAATTCCAAAATGTCAGTTTATAAGGTGAAGTTTTTTTTGGTGCTCTTATAAGATAAAAACTGACTCCGACTTATGACTACATCTCGACCATACCACTATCCAATATGGGATTACAAACACTCTTTGCCATAATTCCCTACATCACATGTCTTCTTTCTCCCTACCTACACCTTAGTTATTCTAAGGGTACTATAAATACTCATTTCCTCAATGAAGAAGAAGAGCAAGCAAAATATCAAAAATCTAATGCTTCCTTAAGGTCTAAAGTCCAAAATATCCAAAATTTCCTTAAGGTCTAAAGTCCAAAATCTAATCCCAAAATCACAGTAACTCTAGAGCTGGAGATTCATGAGTAAGCAGCACCTTGTTGTGTTGTCCTTGATGTTGCCCATGATTTTCCTCCCAAAATAGAGCATCTTATTTTATCATCCAATCACGAGTGGGTTCCTATTATTCTAGTTTTGAAAGTGAACATCTCAAATTAGGGTCAACCTCCATGTAATGGCCTCCATATAGTGGTTGAAGTATTACAGGAGGAATTTGGGTATACGTAACAGGGGGTGGATGCCCAAAGGGAGAGTCCATCCCAAAAGACCATTATGTTAGGTGGGAGAACCTCTGGGATTATAAGCCTCACTTCTTAGGTGAGACTCGCCTATAAGAGATTCATAACAGAGTGACTCTGGGTGTTGCCTCCCAATTTGACTATTAAAATGAGGGTCACGAATCTTGAAAAACTAGGTCTAACAGAACGTCGGCATGCTCACTAATAACAATGAGTTGAGCAAACCAACTGTTTATTTTTAACTAAAACGACTATGTTTAATATCTACAAACTCTTCTTCTATCCTATCTAACAAGCGGCAACTGCTTCACAGTTCACACAACTCTTTCATGAAATGTTTAAAGGAAAAGAACAGATTCAAGTATGGGCAAGGAAGATATTGAACTACCCAAGAACTTATCCTGGTATGGGTGGGAAAAGATGTTGAACTAAGAGCATATTCTGGTATGGACAGGAAAAACATATTGAACTAAGCTTTTTGTTATAATCATATTCACAAGTATATAAACAGCAAAGCCTTTCGCACTATAAGTGGTGTTTGTGATCATAAATTACCGGTTGCAAATTGTGGTTAAATATACAAATATGGTTACAACTTCGCGAGAATGGTTACCACTTAATGAGAAATAATCAATATATTCAATACAAATATTACATATCAGAGAAAAATACAAATTTTATTCATTTAAACATATCTAGGCCACATAGCATCCTGAATTTTAAGAATCCACTATATCCCTAATTCCTGTATCCATTTTGTATCATGCTTGTGTCACATTTAAGTATCATAGCTTCATAAATATCTTTAAAACATCTGATGATCAATTTTTTCCAATTCTTTACATAAGGAGATATTTTACACTTTACGACTTTATGATTAATTCAGTTATTCTGATATTTACATAAATAAGAGTTCAAGCCATTCAGAAATTTAATTTAGTTTTTGAACCCTATTCATCATAATTTGCTCAAAAAGGCTACAACAGGGAGAGGAAAATAATTACAGTCAAAAAACATATTGTACTCTTAATTATTGTCGGTCAATTTATTCATTTCTACCACCTTAGGATAAGACAATTTTCAGTAGTTCTCTCTGTTTTCAATTGCCGCATTTTCTTCATAATTGCATAAATTATGTGTATATGCAGGACAGGTCTTAAGAATCACAGGCCATCTGATTCCCCAGTGAGCCTATAAGTAACAAGCTTGGCATAACACAATATGTTATAATTGGCATTTGATACTTCACTGAAATTAAGAGAGGTAATTGAATACTAGTAACAAGCAAACATCATTTTATTGAGAGGAAATGTTGAAGAACATCGTAACAGCTTCAGTAGGTCAAACATCCCCAACCAATGAAGTGAGAGTATGAAACTATAAAAGACAGCAATTTATTATGCACTTATAACTCTTTCTTTTTATTGTGGCGTAAATTGGCCAAAATCCACATATCTTTCATTTAAAGAACATACATTGGCTCAATATTGCAACCTAGAATGGAAATAACATGTGTTAGAAGCCTACGTCCATACTCACAACTGTCACATGTATCCAAGTTCAAGCATTGCAAGTAAGAAGATGGAAAAATCTAAATGCACCGATACTTAGAATCAAACCCAATACAATATTCATGCATCCACTAGACAAATTATATATAGGTTATGGTATCTCATGTTAAAACAAACTAACTGCTTCTTAAGCAATATTGATGCCAGAAACTCGCTTTTCTTAAACTGATAGAGTTGAGTTGAAAATTGAAATTACATATGCAAAATAGAGATGCACTGTAAGCATACCTGGGTAAACTCATGAAGAATATCTCTGTGCCTAGCCAACTTTTGCGTTACAGAAGTAGCAGGTCCAGCAGATGCAGCACATCTACTCATGGAATCATTTATATCCAATAGTTTCTCGAGCAAAGATTGGATTTCCATTTCCATGGATTTCCAAGACCTACTGGACCCAACAGGTGGTGAGCCAGCATCAACATAACCTAATAACAAGAGGTATGTATATTCTCATGATTTATAAACATTGAGAATTGTACTGCCTAACTAAATGCATTCATCTATAAAGACACAATGTACTTCTAATAAAAGTGAAAACAAGATAGAATTTTATCATTATTAAAGACATTTACTCTCAAACAGAACAGATCCTTAACTTATAAACCTTTTGAGGTGTGGCGTAATATGAAAAGTAAACATCATATGCATATTATAAAAACAAAGTTGTCATAGATAATAAGTTATTCCTAATCACAATGACTTAACATTTGATTCTTCAAAATTTTCCAATCACTCAGAGGTTGGAGAGATAACTAAGTCATGGGTTCAACTCCGGACTAACAATAATAAAACTAACATTTATCATACAAAAGTAAATGTTATCGATAACCAGAAAGGCTGAATATAGTAAGAAACAATTACTATCCAAAAACAAAGTTGATGTAAAACTTATAGTAGTTTGTCATTATAACACATAAGCTAATTCATTACTTGTCGTCAAAGTGGTGTTTGGAGACAAACGATGATAAATTAAGTTTGCCTCATAGTAACCAAACACATATTTTCGTTAGAATCGTGTTTGGATGGTAAGAGGAAAAATCAATTTTGACAAACATAAAACCAAGCACACTAAATACATGTTTGTTTTACTTCCTATGGCCATAAGTTCCCCAACCACTTCAGTTGATGGGAGCCTCCATTTCTACTAATAGGAGCTTCTCAAAATTTACAGTCAGCAATCTCTGTAGCACAAGAAATGTTATCTGAATGCATTCATTACCCATGCATATGCTAGAGTATGTTTGGTTATCCAATAGCACAATGTTGATGTGAATGAATTGGTTTTGTAAAGTTGATTTTGTTAAAAGTGAGTTGAAGTAAAGGTATTTTTCCATGTTAGGATATATTCACCTAAAAATGAATTGAACACTAAATTTGAATCTAAAAATCAATTCAAGCAAAAGATTCAAATCTTAGTTTCAAAATAAATCAATTTGGAGGGAAAAACAATTCTACTAGAGAACACCCAAACATATTGTTTCGGACTAGGCCAAAGCTCATCCGAACTAGAACTTCACGAGGAAAGCCCACTCCACTCTAGAGTGATCCATAAACTCTTCAAGCCACAACACAATCAATTCAACGGTGATCCACCTTGCATGGCACTTTCCTCACACTTTGTTACGAGCGCCATCAAACATTCCCATAAAAGGACCTTGACGCCTATGTTAAATGGGTTTGTATCTCATCTCAAAAATCAGCTCATAAGATGAAAGTGCAAGATCACGCGTAACAACCTAATAACCTATGCAATATAGAACTCTAATACAACTTCAATACTCACACTCACGCCCAGCATAGGTCCTAAGTACGGTTAGCATCTTGAAATCCTTAATGTTAAAAGTACTTGGATCTCACTCTCAAAAACTAGCTTATAAGACGAGGGTGTTCAACCACATATGTACATTCAACAACTCGAAAACCTTGGTAATGTAGAACTCCAATACTACTTCAATAGCCTCAACTATAAAAGGTACACCATATTTCTCACCTTTCACCTTAATTCAATCAACAACAACAACAAGCCTTATCCCACTAGGGAGTTGGCTACATGGATCAACTTTCCCCATAATTTTCGAAATGAGTGCTTTCAAGCACGCCATCCTCCGCGGCAAGCTAGTACCACCGACTTGCGCCACAGATCAAAGGATCCATCCATCTCTCAGTCAACTTCAAATCACATACTAAAATCATTCCTATCTCTCTCAAAATTGAATCCAATCAACCACTAAAAAGAAAAACAATTCAATTTAACACAGACACGAATCTCCTACATATATTTCTTTGGTTTAACAGAATGCATCTACGATTATTCAATGAAAAATGAATTGTGAAAACCAAATGCCATGAAGAAACGAAAAGGAACCGAACCTCCTTGAGTAAATCTAGCACCGAGCTTGGCGTAGGAAGAAAGCTTGACGTCGAGATCGCCTTCGATCTTACGCGCTTCCTTTCGAAGTTCTTCCCAACCCGATTCCTGCAAATCCAGATTCGAATCCCTCATTCGGATCTTTTTACGGGTCGATGTTGAAGTTATTGAAGTTGAGGTTTCTGATTTTGCACAGAAATGGCGGAAGAGAAGATGAGAGGAGGGAAGAAAGGGAGGAGGTAGGATCGTCTGCAGCTGGTGCACCAGAGGAGAAATTACAACATGTTCAATTATGAATTTTGGATTTGGATGCTTACGATAGTAAAATGAAAAATAATGGTTTAATGCATTTTTTTTTTCTCCTTTAACCTAATTTTAGATATTATTTTTGTCACTTATTTAATAAATGTTTATTTTAAATTTTTTAAATTACGTTCTCTTAATTACATTAATTATTTTCTTTAAATTTTGTTAAAATTTATTAAATTTGAATGATATGACACTCCAACCGATTTAAAGTATGATTGACGTAGAATTATTTTATTAATAATAATTCATTAAGCATTAGTCGTCACCTCTCTTTCTCTCTTTTCATCTTTTCACCTTCACCAAAATCTTAGTAATTTTCTTTTTCCTTTCAAGACAACCCTTTGCTCTATGGACTTAATCTTCCTAACAAAAACACATTGATGAGTCAACGGAACATTTTCTCTTATCCTCATTCGTATGTTAGCAACACAAAAATTTCTTTCGTGATGATTTATAAAGACAGTACACGGCGAAGACATGTTGCAGAACCAACTATCAAATGCAATCTCTTTTGTTACCAATCTATTAGGTGGTTCTCGCGTATTGTTTCTTGATTTATTTTTTTTTGCATTGATGTTTCTTTTTTGGGTTTTACAGAAAGATTCATGAAGAATTGTTCTAAAAGATTGTTCACAAAGGACATATTTGTGTGTTATGCAATAACTAGTTATTACTTTTCTTTTTGGAGTTTTATATATTTTTGATGGCACTTGAATTTAAATATTATTGATGGAGATTGATGAACCTATGTTTCTATTGTTTCAGGCAACACCAACCCAACATTTCTGAGTCCAAGTTTAGATCATCTGATCGAAATTTTACTTATTATTGTCTCTGTATTTTTAACCATGTACATGAGACCCAACAAGAAGAAGGAATGATATGAGTTGAGATTTGATTTAAGTGGCATATTAAATTGGGTTAGTGATTCATTTGTTATATTCTAACTTGTTTATATCAAAGTATAGTTTAACTGAAAAGCCATATCTCTAAGTTTTTTAATCCAAACAATGCTCCTTCAGAACCTTGAATCTAACTAACCTTCTAGACTAAAAACTACAAAATGACTTAATAAAGTTATACTTTCAATGCTTAGTGATGTTACGATCTTGAGAGTGTGCACATGTAAACCACCATATTCAAATATGATCAAGGCCATAAATTGTAACACCTGCAGAATACATAAATTGTAAAGGTCAAACTACGTTTAACAAAGATCCTTGTTCAAATATTGGGGATTGCCATGTTTAAATGAAACTATAAGAATTATAAGTCTCAATGTTAATGTGTGAACCAAAATCTCATTGAAAAACATATAGATTTACATTAGACTTTTCTTCGTATGAATGAGTAATGTTATAGAAAATAATTCTATTAAAAATTTAGTTAGAAAATAATTCTTGTTAGATTGTTGATTCAAAAATTGTATGTCTAACTAATTGTTGGTTTCACCATTCTCAATTGGTCCTTCGTTAAAGTTCACCAACCTATGTATAAATTGGACCCCTTTTCACACGAAAAAGCTAAACATACATAAAGAGAGATAGTCGTCACTCGCCATATTATATTTGGCATTTTAAACATGGTGTATCTAATTTTATTTGCAGATCTGAAACCTGCTATCAAATTGTTTTAGATATTAAGGATAAAGTAGAATACTTTGAAAAGGGTAGTATTTGTGTTATTCAAATTGATGAGGCTACCTTGAGAGAGACATGTTTGATGTCATTTTAGTTTAATGATTTTGGTTTGAATCAAAAGAATGTGATAAAATTTCAATTTAATGTCATTAAATTCAAGATTATGTTGATATGAAATTCTGGTCTAATAAATAACAAATTATGGTATGATAAAATGTTATAAAATTTTATTCTGGTCACTTTAATCACAATTTGGTTATTGTTAAAGTTTGATCATTTAACTAACTATAAGGTTTCAATTTAGCCCCTTAATGAAATTGTTGACTCATTATTTTGATTTTTGTCATGTTGTCATGTCACATCATTCAAACTTAACGTTTTTTTATCAACATATAACAAAAAGAATTAATTTGGCTAATAGAATAATTTTTAAGAAATTAAAATGTAACATTTATTAAATAAGAAACTAAACTAAAAATTGAAATTAAGTTAAGGGACTTCGGGTCTAATTAAGCAAAAAAAATAATTAATAATGTAACCATCAATAATTTATTATTTATGTGTTTATAAATTACAATTTATTTTTGATAAAATTACACTCACCTTAAAATTTGTCAAAATGACATTGATATTGTCCTCTAACCTCTAATGAGATTTATTAAAATGACATCTCAAAAATTATAGGTGTATATGACATTTATTTATGGATTTTTATGTCATTTATGCATAGTTTAAAATAGAGGAGGTGTATGGACTTAGGCTCTTTTTCTTACAAAAAAAAAAGAGAGAGAATTTCTTAATGCACCCAATAGGCTTCTTATGCACCATGCAAAATTATATAAATGCCCTAAAATTTCGGAGATGCATCTCTGATTGCACCAAAAAGTCGGTTAACGTTAAAATATTCAGGAGATGCATCTTCGAAATATTTTGGAGGTTAAATCGTGTCAGATCCTTCTCTTTCCTCATTTCTCATTTTCCTCAAAACCATTTTTCTTGCTCTTTAAAAATTTTCTCTGCACCAACTCAAAACTCAATCATCAAGGCTTAATGGAACTTAAATAATCATCTCTAACATCAGAAACAACATCTATGTAACATCAATTTCTTGTAAGTTTTATGATTTTTTGATAAATTTTTTAGTTTTTGTATAATTGAGTAGAAATCAACGATTAGAGTTAGAAATGAGTAGAAATAACATTTAAGATAGTTTAGACATAATGCATTAGATGTTTGTTGGCTGAAAATGGTGATCAAGATAAGTTTTTTTGAGATTGCATGGGGGTACAATAACACCATTGAAGCAACTTTTGAGTTGTAAGAAATTCCAGAGATACATCTCTGAAATCTCTCAACGTTTTAGCTTCCCAGATTCTAGAGATGGATCTCTAAAATTTTCTGCAATATTTTTTTATTTTTTTTGCTTGTATGTTGTTTTCCTACACTAATGGTATGTCTTACTTTAACTTACAGGCATAATGGATGGTAAACATGATAAATTGAGGCACGAGAGGGTTGCTTAGCACGCATCAGTGCGGCGGGAGAAGAGTCAACAAGTTTCGGAGGCTCCTGGTCCCTCTGGTCAGGCAGAGCCATCTACTTCTGAGGCCCGTGCTTCTCCTCATGCCACTCCATCTTCTTTTTCCTATAGGAGACGGGATTCACCATCTGATGCATCATTCCTTCCATCCTCTCGCAAGTGTCAAGTTTCACCAGTGCCACCTCCTACTATAGATGTTGTTAATCCAATCTCACTTTGTACTACTGATGTTGTTGATCTAGTGCCATCTCTGGAGGGTGGGGTTGTTGCGCATGTTAAGCCATAGGCATTTGGAGGAGGCCCAGTTTATTTGATGGTACTGCCTCTGTATCCAAACCATACTCCCATGCATATTTGAGACGAAGAGGTAGCATTAGTTAGATTCATTTTTTACGTTAATTTTAATTGACAAGTTTCTGACATTGATTACTTTTTTCAGAAGCGTGATCCGAAGAAGTTTCTTAACCACAAAAGGAAGATTATTGTCTTGCCTCAGCCGAATGACGATTGGTTTCAGTCAGTTTTGTCCTTATCTGCCCTGAAGGAATTGTGCATGATCGATTATACTACGGTAAACCATATGTTCTTAATGCATTCACAGAAAGATGGAACTCAGAGACTTCGTTGTTTCATCTCCCGCATGGTAAGATGTCTATCACACTCCACAATGTCTCGTGTTTGCAACATCTTTCAATTAGGGGGAGATTCTTGTATCATGGGAAAATGACCAAAGACGAGGCAGACGAGATGATGGTAGAACATCTGGGGGCTGATCCAGGGGAGGTAATGAAAGAGTTGGAAAAGACCAGGGGTGCTCTGTTGTACCTCAAAAAATGCGATCCTCATGATGAACACGGAAAAAATGTTCGAATAGAGTCGCCACCGAACTTTATTCATTCCAAGAAAGGAATAGGAAAATATCGATAAAACCTTTAAAGAGATAAGAACATGGTCCTCACAACCAAATTCTAGGTTCGGGAGTCGATTACGCAAAGGGAAGATATTAGCACCCTTTACGTCTGTTGTACTCAACGGGAACCTTTTGATTCAATTTGTGAGAGAAGTTAGCTAAGTTTGTTTATCTTCTAAAGAATTTGATTACTAAGGGGAAAATGGTGGTTTTATATTAGGGTGCTCGCCAATAATTGGGATTCTTGTGCCTACGTACTCCCTCGTACAATGGAAAAGTCAGAGCATTGTAGTTTGTGGTACTACGGTTGAAATATTTTAGTAAACAAGTGTTTAGAGGGTACTAAACATTATTCTTTTAGTAAATAGTTTTAGTCGCGCGGCGGCAAAAAGTAGGGGTGTGCATGGATAACCATTTAATATGAACCAATCCATTTTTAGGGTTATGGTTTATAAAACAAATCATTTTTATGGTTATGGTTTATAAACTAAATCACTTGTTCTAAACCAGTTTAAATCGGTTCTAAATGGATTTTGATTTTAACCCAAATTATTTAGTTAAATTTAATTTTTTTTATTATATCAATTTTTAAATTTAAATATTTAGATTTTGATATATTTTTTCTTTGAAAACAAATATTAAAAAAAATTTTAAAAAATATTTAAAAAATTAAAAATAAAATTGAAAATAAAAATTGTCAGCAAATTATATGGACTTAAAATGACAACTAATATTT